AGTGTTACATTTCAGACTATACATGTACAGATGCTGTTAAAATTGATGTGGCTTTCTAGAAGTATAATTATTGTCTGCTATTTAAAAGAAGATACCATAGCACTGGGCCTCTTCAGATTAAGCATTTGTTTTAAGAAGCTTCTTCATTTTGTTAAGCTGCCTAGAACAATAGTAAAGCAGTCTTTAAAAAATAAGTCTAATAATTTGAACATTCTATAGGCATTTATAGTTATTGGCTTACCTCCTTGCAGCAAACAGGCTGATCAGCAGAAGAAAACCAAAATCTGCTTCTGCCTCCCAGGAATTTACCTCCTTGCAGCAAACAGCAAGTTTCACTTTCCATTTCAGCACAGGCCTCCCAACCATCAGCTGTTTCAGGCTGCAAGGATTGCCATAGCCTATTGCTGCTTCTGCGTTTGCTGCAAGGAGGTAAACTGTTGGGAAGCAGAGGCCAAAGGGTGGGAGGCGGTGGGTGGGCAGGGTGGGTGTATAAGACACACCCAAATTTTCACCCTCTTTTGGAGGGTGGGGGAAAAGGTGCGTCTTATACTCCCAAAAATACGGTAAGCAACCGTCTTTTGGAAATCACTACCGTTCTTTTCAAACTTGTTATTTCTGTGGTCTCCACAGTTCTGACCGAGGCCAAGCGTTACACGTTTTTTATGCCTACCCTGCCTTGCTTGGTCTCCTTCTGCCAAGCTTTTCCTCCGCTGTACGAAGACATCATGTCCCTCCTCATCCAAGTTGGACAAGTTTGTGCTTCCGACGTGGCCACAGAAACGAGGGATTTCGATCCGATTATTACACGTAAGCTACCATCTCTCAATGCTTTCAGTCGTCTTTGCTTGCCCTTGGGCTCGTGCCAGGGATGGGCAACCTTTTCGGCATCCGTGGCCAAACCAGAATGCACGGGCATGGGTCTGGAGGACCGGAAACCTGAAAACCAGCTGGCCGGCGGGCATGTGGCTATTTTGGGGGCTGATTTCGGGGCGTTTTCAGTGCATTTTTGTAATGGTTCTTGTGGGAAAAACCATTGCAAAATTTCCAGAATGCCGGGAAACGGCCCGGAAAATTGATTCGTTTTGGCTGTTTTTAGGCCAATTTCCGGCACGCCAGTGTCCACGGCGAATACCAGCTGATGACGGTGTGCGTGCCCATAGAGAGGACTCTGCGTGCCACCTCTGGCACACCTGCCAAAGATTCACCATCACCTTCTTATGCCTAATATCACTTGAACGTTTCCACTCTCCCACGTGTTTAACTTGGTTTATTTTTTCCCCCACCTTTCCTGCCCTGAATATTTTACCTCTAGGCCTCCAGCAACTGAAGGAAAAGCCCATGGAACAGACGAGGCTTCCCACGACCCACAAAACTGGAGGAGGGACCTCGAGCGCAGACCCCAACGTCCAACTCTGTCACTGCATTGAAAATACCTTTGTTGAGATCATTAACATGAGCGTCGGGGCCATTTAAGCACCTCTGGATGGGTCGGGCTGTGGCAAAATCGCGGGACGCACGTGGGTTTTTTGTCAAAGTAAAACGAAGGATTATCTGGAAACGTTTTTCACCACTGCGGCATTAAACCACAAGTCAACCACCGCTGCTTTCAGAGAAAGCATCTCTAGACTGGGGCGATGAAGATCTGTTCTCTTCAGACAAGCCATCCTGGCTGTAGATTCTGAGAAGCGGAGCATGATGGGTCAAAGGCAGGGGGAAGATGGTCTGGGGTTGCCCTTTTCCTGCTGCAGGAATCCAGGTTTCCTTGCATTTCAAAGAGGAGGCCATACAAACCACGATTGCCATGTAACATCATTTGGGCACTTGGATTCCCTTTTTGTTTTTAAAAATATTTCTTCAACTGGCACCACCGTATCTTGGATTAAAATTGAAAAAGTTAAATTTGAGATAGAACTTTATTTTTAAAAAATATACATGTTGTTGTTTTTTCCATCTATAACAACTATCAATCATCACATTAACATTGAGATAGAACTTTAATCTGTGGAACAATGAACAAGCATTCAAAAGAAGCTGATAAAAAGAGACAGAAAGGGAGGGAGGGGGGGGAGAGAGAGACAGAGAGACAAAGAGACACTCCCATAGAGAGAACCAGAGGTGGGTTCCTACCAGTTCGTACCAGTTTGGTAGAACCGGTTCGTCAAATCTACCGAACCGGTTAGAAGAG